ATTTATTTTCCTTTTTCCTTTTTTTTCCTTTCACACAAGGTGAGGGTGATGTGGTGAAAACTGATGAGGAAGGGGGAAAGCTAATAACAGTTGTACTTAAATTCTTTACAGGTCTCAGAAGTTACTCCGTCCAAACAGTTTAAAACTGGGCAATGATTCTGATGCAGATTCAGATTCCAGGGCCAGCTCCCCAAACTCTACTGTCTCCAACAACAGCAGTGAAGGTTTTGGGGGCATCATGTCTTTTGCAAGTATGTACTGATGCATTCATTAAGCTGGTTTTATTTATTATATTAGAGTTTACAGAGAGATGGAATAGAGGGATGGAAAGTCAAGAGAATGACTTGGTTGGCAAATTGTTAGCAGCTCTGCAGAAGTCATGTTGGGAGCCACAGGACCTGTTTAACTTATACTGCTGCTAACTACTGCTTTGTGCATTTTTCAGTAAGGAGGACTTTGGTTATGTGGTTAGGCCCTTGAGTTATATGGTGCTTTAGGGCACAGATCAGAAATTCCTTCTGTTTAATATAAACAAAAAATTGTGCAGTTTCCTGAAATTGATACATAAATCTTGCCAGTAGTATGCCTTCCATGCTACCATGTTGTGTGTTTAGGTGCTAAATTCAATGTATTGACTGTGCTCACCTACTTTTATATTATATTTAACAATAAAATCCACAGGTGTGGAAAACTAATCTAGAATTTTTTAATAAGTGAAAGAAGACCTGGCCAGTTGAGTCTTGCACTATAGTGGGGAGCAGTGCAAGAAGTTTGCAGCAGTGAGGAAAGGATATTGGATGTTTCTGGTAAAATAATTGGTACTAAAATAAGACTGCAAAAAAAAAAAAAAAAGAACCAAAGCAAATTGAAATAGTACACTGACATTTTAAATTAGTATCTTGAAGTGTTAATCAGCTCGTTGATCTAGATGAGGTGTTGTCAGGCTTAATCAGATGATGATGCACTATTGTCTTCTTAAGATCTGTCTGTACTAGGAAGAATTTCTGTTTTCTCCTAGTAAATGGAAAGCTTTTATTTTAAAGCACATTTCTGTGGCAGATTTACAGTGTTTCACAATCCTCACTTCAGAATGACATGTTTTGGCGATCTTCTGTCATCCTGTTTCCTCATGTGGCCCCTGCCATTTCTTTACTCCTAAAAAGGGGACCAAACTAGAAGACACAGCTGACATGAGGTTACCTGTTTAGGTGCAGGAAGACAGCGGGATGTGGCTGTTACATTTTAGACTCGAAGATACAACAGCAATGGTTGTAACATGGAAGCTAAGAGTTAGGATTTTGGACAATTTAGAATAAACCAATTTCAGATGCGGTTGCAATGTAAATGAGATGATGTTTTGCTTGTGAGACTTTTGAGTAATAAAGAACATCATTAAGGATCTGGAAGGTGAATGACAGGAAGTTTAGGAAGTTGAGAAGTGTGTGGTGACCATTAGGCATTTAATTGTTTTGTTCTTCTGTCATAGGCAGCCTGTACAGAAACCACAGCACAAGTTTCAGTCTGTCCAACTTAGCCTTACCAACCAAAGTTGGGAGAGACAAGAACACTCCCTTTCCCAGCCTGAAAGGTAACCGTTTCCCCCTTTGTCTTCTACAGCCTTAACAGTTCTTGTGACTTGGCAGTCTGAGGTCTTACCCCTAACAGGAATCCTGGGGGTGATGCATTTTGGTAGTTTGAGTAGTACCCGTCTTCAGTATCAACATAGTAAATTGTCTTGATATTTCTCAGTCACAGAATCATAGAATGGTTTGGGTTGGAAGGGACCTTAAAGCTCATCCAGTTCCAACCCCCCTGCCATCAGCAGGGACACCTTCCACTAGACCAGGTTGCTCAAAGCCTCATCCAGCCTGGCCTTAAACACTTCCAGGGAGGGGGCAAAGGTTTCTTCCCAACAGTTGTTCTGTGTTGGGATGGGAGACTGGCTAGTCTAGCCTCTGTGAATGTTGGGTTTGTTTTGTATTTTGTTGTTTGGTTTTGTTTTTTTTTCTTTTAAAGTACTTAGTGGAAAGAGGGGGAACCAAGAGGTAGGTTGTACTTTTGTACTGCCACTTATCTTCATGATTAGCCTTAGGCAACTTGTTAAAGCAGTGGTGCTGCATTTGTAAGTGGGGATAATGCCAGCCTCCCGTGGAGACTGCAGTTTACGTGGCTTTCCAAAGTGTTTATGGTCTCTTCAGTTCACTAAATAGAAAATTTCTGATCAAAATAAAATTATAACCACACTTCAGCTCATTCAGAGTGAAGATCGATCCCTAACTTATGTGCACAATCTTTTCATTGGAACATCTCCTGTTTGTCTGCAGTATTATTCGATAACATGTCTGGATGGGCACTAGAGAAAGGACCCTCTTACCATGGGGATTTAGACAGCCTGATTGTCCTAGTACCAGATGTAATAACAGAAGAGTGACTGAGCATGTGGTGGTGTTTTCATGTTGAGACCTTTTCAGTTGCTAAACTGGGGAAAGGTTTTATTTTACATTTTGAGTTATTCTGATTAGAACTTACTGCTTTTGTTTTAATCTGTTGATTTTTTTTCATTTACTTTTTCCTCCTCATCATTTTCATCGGTAAAGATTACTTTAATCTGGAAGTGGGAAGGGATGTGGATGAAGGTTGGTATGATGTTTTGCTGACCTTTGACCTTGTAGAAACAAAGGCCAAAAGCTGGGTTTTGTGTTTCTGCTTTGGACTTTGTTTTTTTGAGACAAGTAATCATTCCCTGTGTGTAAAATGAGGAGGAACAGGACTGGTATGGTGCAAACACTAGCAGAGACTCTGCACAGCTGTTTTTTGACAACCTATTACCAGTTGGTTACGTTTCCATGTCCAATTGTACTGGTTAAGAAACATGCTTCATGTCAGGGTGATTTCCATGGGTAAACTTAACGACTGATTCCATGCATTGGAAGAAAACAGTGATGGGGTTTGCCATTCCACGTTCATGCTTTGCGCCTCATCTTCTGCCCTTTGGTGTTCTTTTGTTCACTATTGTAGTCCTGTAGGGCCTTCAATGTTATTATGCAGCTATGAAGATGGGATTTCCTTAGAGTAGCTCAGTCTGATTTATGCATGTGCAAGTGTGTGTGTGTGTGTGTGTTTGTGTTCATTTACGTGTGCATGCGTGCTCACTGGGATTCCCACTGGGCACTTTACTGGTTTTTAAATGTTTCTGTCTCTGTTGTGGAAGTATAAAACTGCTGCGTTAACTTGTTCTTACCAAGCGTGTCTGTTACCCTGTGTTTCTAACTGTAATGGGAAATGATGCTGGGACTCCATCTCATTGCTGCTGTTTGACCACTTTCCATCTTCCTTTTTAATTTTTATTTCATGCACATCCATTGATATTTTTTCCTCAGTGATGCAGATGGTTTTGATAGTGCCCTTGAAATACAATATGTGCAATAATGTCCTTGAAGATGCAATAGATTGGTTCCACGATGCCAAATTTCAAGTCAAGCACTATCTCAAAGATTAATTGCGCTGGCCCTTGTTGTCTTGGGCTTTCAAGCATTCTTCCTGCTCTAGCGTCATTTGGGTTTTGTTTTGAGGGAGGGCTGGGAAGAAGCTGCTAGTTGGATTCTTTTGATGCTGATGGTGGGGAGCGTAGATATTGTAGTGCACTACTAATTGTATATTTTGTGTCCCAGTATTTGGGTTAAATACTATAATGGAGATTATTACTGAAGCTGGCCCAGTAAGCAATGAAGGTGGGTTCCCTACAGCATGAGCTGTGCATGATATAACAATTTCCAGCATTCCCTATGCCTGACTTTGGGCTACCTTTTTCACTGGGTAACCAGTACCACATGATCTATACTAGTCACCCCAATGCATTATGCTTTTACATATAGTGACTAATTTGAAGATGGTTCTTGTTGTGGAACTGCATGCAGAGCAGCCAAACCCTTCCTGCCTTTCACCCTCTGCTCTCATTACCATCTTCTCTTTTTCTCTCTGCATTACTCCCATTACTGTTTTCTGCCGATGTGTGATGCTAGAATATGATACACGCTGCTGCTTTTTTGGAGTTTCCATTTTGTTTGAAGTCTGTTACCTATAATCTGAATAGGTGTGTTAGCCAACCTTCGCGTTGCTTGTTAGTGTCCTGGGGATCAGACTGTTTTCCTCCCATCCCTTCCTCTCATCCCGCTTCCTCTCCTGTTTAGGAAACAGACGAGCCCTTGTGGATCAAAAGTCTTCAGTCATTAAGCACAGCCCAACAGTCAAGAGAGAATCTCCATCACCTCAGGGACGAACTAGCAATTCCAGGTAATATTTTTCATTGCTTTTTGAATATAAAGTGTTGTTAGAGTGGTTTCATGCTTGGCCGATGTTTCCTCAGAAGTCTAGCTGTTGAAAAACGAAATAGTACTTTTCTGTTGCCCTAAGCTTGCACATATTATTGTATGAGAAGATGCAGTATGGATGGTCTCACAGTTAATAGCACTCATACGTATGTTTCTGTTCTCCAAAATGTATCCGCTTTCTGTTTGAAAGTCAAAAAAATCTAGGTCCCTACTTTAACTTAAGTTAAACTTTAACTCAAGTATTTATTCCTTGGAATGGAGTCTGTTCTCAACAAGGCACTCTAGCCAGTGGGATTTTAATGCACCACTCAGGGGATCAGCTGAGTCATATGAAGCAGTTTGATTTCGTTAATTCATGTGAAACACTTTTCTCAGCTTTGGGAAGGGACTCAGAATGGTGCAAATAAACATTACCTGACCTGTGCCTGTGCTTTCTTCTCATGCAGTCGTGGATAGAGTGAAATTCACTCTGAGCTACTGGGGTTAGGAGACAAGCAAGAACAATAACAGCAGTTCAGACTGGGGAATGCAACAGGAGTTCCCTTCTTACCATTCCCTCTCCTGTGGCAAAACAAGGTGAAGCAGTACACGTGCCCGGGCTGATGCAGTAGTGTTATCTTTCAAGGAGAGCTTACAGGTCAGACAAGGCAGCTGTGGGAGAAGGTTGTGACATAGAGGATTCCTGTGGGTTCTGAGGAGTGCTGTGAAGGTGAGGGGTAGAGTGGTAGCTGGAGGGACTAGAGGAAAATCTGATTATGGCTTATTATGGGAAATAATGAACAAAATAAATTATTTGATCCATCACCTAGAGAACAGAGCTTGGACTATGTGCAGTTGTTAGCAACAGGCATAGCTAGATTTGAACTTCTTTTCTTGTAAACTTAACTTTGACAGGAAATGCATTTCTGTTTGTGTCCTGGCTGTATCTCTCTCCCCATGCGAGCCGTGGTAAGCAGAGAGCTAACTTTTGCCTGCTTCCTCTTAAATCCATCAGTGAGAACCAGCAGTTCCTGAAGGAGGTGGTACACAATGTTCTCGATGGGCAAGGTGTTGGCTGGCTGAACATGAAGAGAGTCCGACGGCTGCTGGAGAGTGAGCAGCTCCGTGTCTTTGTACTAAGCAAGCTGAATCGCACGATCCAGTCAGAAGAAGACGCTCGACAGGATGTCATACAGGATGTGGTCAGTGCTGAACTCAGCAGGGTCCTCATACCTGGAGTCTGCTGAGGCTCATTTCGTAGAAAGTTTTTGTTAAATTGCCTCCTAAAAGCTGATGTTACAGCAGTTTTTGAATTTGTGTTCTTGAGTTACAAAGCTGGGAGGAGTGGCTGACACGC